TCCATTATCTTTTTTGTGCTGAACTTCAAGTCCTGTTATACCCTTTGTCCCTCCACTTTTGTACATCGACTACGAGACTCTTCTGCTTCTTGTTATCAGAATCACACCATTTATTTTCCTAGTGATTGACGTATGATGGAGTATGGCATTCATGAGCATGATGAAGAGCACTGGCACTGCCGTCAATGCAAACCTTCAATGCAAATCTGCGTTTGTATTATATCTCGGAACCAGACCGAGGCCTTCCCTCCTACTCCCACTCCTCCTCGAGAATGCTAAATTTTCGAACATGGCCTTGTGGGTTATAAAACTGCGCAATCGAGTTGTTTTCTATTCGTTTATAGTGTACCTAGCGCGCAGAACATGAGCATCATGCTAAATGTGCATAGCGGTATCTTCTTCGTCACAGTGATTATACCTAGATGGTTCAGGAACTCAAACCTAGTCCAAACTCTGCCTAGAGAGTTTCTTAAGTATGCTGATTACAGATATCTTGTTCGTTTGTTGCAACAAGGGCTTTTCATAAAGCTATGGCAAGTTACAAAGTGTAAGTAAAGCATTTTTGCTTCTAGGCGTTAGATTTCAAAAACTCAAAAAGCCTTATCATACGAAATGTGCAATATGTAACCAGCTCGTCAGATGGCCCCTGCACAATGCAAGCAGATCTAAACCTTGACCATCTGCCGTATACACACCGTATCCTGCAAATAGGTCCCAAAGCGCAAAAGTTATGATATTCGTAATCAGTATGCCAAATATTAGGTTGTTGCATAAGTTCTGTCCGATTTGAATTTTTTGAGTTCAAAATGTCATAACTTCTTTCAGAGTCAACTTTCTTCCAAAATCCTAGTTTCTATGTGTTGAGCAGTTCCTTGGCTATGAAACGAGTATTGAGACCTGCGCAAATCCTTGTTAAGGAAGAAGCGAGAATGCAAAAACTTCGCAGCGTTTTTCTTCGAATCTGTCTTTTTTGACATGGTAACGCTCCCTTATGAGAATTGATAGGCAATGGCTTTTCTAACAATGGATAGATAGAGAGATTTTCGTAGATTAGTATGCAACATAAAAGAGCCCACAGGATCTGCGCTGCCGAGAGATTTTTTTGACCGAACAAAAAATAGCCACTTTTTGACCTTGCTTCAGCACATGTGTGCATGCCTATTTATGAATTATGAACATTTTACAACTGATGTGAGCGCCGAAAAGAAATCGGTGGATGAGCCCTGTTAGCTCTTGTTTTGCCCTAGCACCTCCAACTTTGAGCTTATCGATTACTTCTACTCACAGAAGGTTATTGCTTGTAAAACATCTACGCAAAAAATTAATGTTCGACGATAAATTTTACTAGCAAGACGTTTTGTTCATGGAACCGAACTTCTGCATATACTAGCACTTAAACCCTTATTCCGCAGCCAATGAAAGAACTTGACTTGAAGGGCGCATTGTGGAAATTTCCTCGCAAGAACATATTTCTAGGGTGAGAACGTACCTCGGCCACTTAGAGATTTTAGGCCGTAAATCTTCGTACACTAATAAATTAATGGAAATCTGATATGCGTTAGAAAGCGCAAGGAAAGCACTTTTCAATAATACTAACAATATTGCATTAGAGATGAAATTCTCTTAGAACAGCTGCTTCAAACATGAGGCAAAAAAAAATCGGACAGAACTTATGCAACAGCCTAATATACTTGGGTACGAATCGAATAGAAATTCGATCATTCGAATAAAACATTCGAATATATTCGTATTTGAAATTTGATATTCGGAGTTCTTCCATTTTCGAATAATATTCGTAACTCGAATAATTGAGAAAACGCGGTTTCGAATAAAATTCGAAACTCGAATAATGAAAAAACAGGGTTTCGAATAGATTTTATTCGGATGTTTTATTCGAATGTTTATTCGAATTCGTATTCGAATGAACTCCGTATTCAGATTATTCGACTTTGTTGCAGAGCCATCTGCTGAGTATTATCAAGCTCACTTCGTCCGTGTTTCTTTTTTCGGAAAACTAGGTAATGCATCTTTTGCAACTGTTATGACCTCTGAACTATACGGAGAGTCGCATTCTTTCGACTGTTTGCGACAGTAAAAACATCATATGTGGATTTTAATTGATGCTTGATGAGCCAACCTCAGGCTCATCAACCTTTTAATAACGATTTTTATTTTATATTCTCAAAGTACAATACCAATCTCAACCCAGGTGAAGGGGGTCATCCGGAGTTTGGCCTCAAAGTGAAGGGGGTAAGATCCACCACTCCTCCTATCGCAACTATGTTTTCACCTCAGTACACGAAGATGCGGTCTCGAAGCGGATGTCTCAGGGTAAGTCATCTATCATCTCTATAGATATAAAACTCAAAAATTGTCCGTTTGGAGGGTATGTGAGTTATAGAAACGTGCGCCGCTAACCGATTGGGCTGGAAGTTTGTACACAGATGTTTTCGACCCCGGAGACGGTTTTCGGCTACTTTTTGCGGCGAATCACTGGGTCCTTCTATCGATTTATTGATTTGTTTACGTTTTTCCAGGGAATTGTAGGCTCATCATGTTTAATCGATTTTGCCATAGTCATGTAAAGGAGGGCGTAGAACCTCATTTTCACCTCAGATCACGAGGATGCGGCTTCGAAGCGGATGTCCCAGGGTAAGTTATCCATAACATATAAAAGGGGGGGGCTCGCAATGCAGGATAACAATGGCCCGGTCTGGACCGGGAAAGCCAATTAGTACTCTATATAAAGCGCAAGCACCCCCATGTGACTCACCGTGGATGTTGGACCAGCGGTGATCTTTGATACCTTGCCACTGCAGTCGTGTTTTCGTAAATGAGCCGCGCATCGTTTACTAAGTACAGATGCGCTTTCGCATCACGACTGTACGAGTATCACTGCGACCCAGTGGCTTACCCAGGATTTCGGCTCGGGGGGGGGGGAGGGGGCGGCAAAAAAATTTTTCAGATGGAGGTGCGTGGCGTCAGCCACGCACTCCAAAAAAAAGGGGGGCTTCTCAAAATTTTTCCGGGCCTCTGACCCCAAAATTTCAAAAAAAGGGCGTGGCGTCAGCCACGCCCCCGAAAAAAAAATTTTATAGGGCTAATTTGATTTTAAAAAATTTTAAAAATTATTTTAATTGTTTACAAAAATAAATAAGCCACTTGCACATTTTTATAACTCATGTAAGTAACTTTCAAAAAATTCGCGACCCGTTCTCGGGGGGGGGGGGGAGGCGCCCCCCCCCCCCCGCCCCCCCCCCCTCGGTACGCCACTGCCGCGACCATATACAAAAATCATGGCTTCCGAGATGTTTACGGTTTCAACCATGTGGTCTGTCAAATACTGGCAAGTCGGTATAAGACTGATCAGTTCAGTTTCATCAGTCATCTCTATATTACTTCAAAGAATACACTCACAGATTTCGGTATCAGTAAACAGGTAGGCCCATGCATGTGTGGTTGCCCTTTTGGTCTACCACGACCAAAGTTTGTAAAAACCATCTCCTCCGAGACGTTTTGTTACATACTTTAAGATCATTCTCATTCTACAGAAGTCATTACGCGCTCAAAAATTCACAGTTCGCTGCAGTCTAACATTATGAAGATGTATCTATTTTAACCCGAAGTTATAACAAGAGATGTGATTCTCTCTCATCAAAGTTTTAGGTTCTGATGCTAAAGAAATTGACCGTTTTAGCTGTAGCGTAATGGGTTTCGGCCACTTAGGGTAAACTAAATAGAGCGGGTCAAACGAAGGTCCACAGAAAAGAAAAACCGGTTGGAGAGTTTTGGCAAAAATTTTAAATGACAATGCACATTATCGAAGGCGAACTTTAGGAGGGAAAGAGAGGGTTCTGGAGAAACTCGAAATAGCGTTGAAAGAATTTTGTTTGTGTTAAAGGCAGCTTGGTGGGGGAAACTCGAGAGCTCGAGGACCGAAAAATGTAGAGAAGTATTTGAAGAACTCTGCCTAAGAGAAGCTTCAGAGTGAAAAAGCTTTGACAAAAAATTCTAATAGAAACTTTTAATCATCCTAATCCCATCTGTTGTACTCCTCTATTCTTCAGCAAATGTAAGAAATCAACGAAGAGGTGGGAAGGGAGAAGGAAAGAGAAAGATTGGCTTAGAACTCTATAGCGGTAAAACGGCAACGGCACACGTGAACATAATAAAGTTCATGGTACCTGTGGAGAATAGAGGGGAGAGGGACACTATGGGAGGGAAGGCTGCAGAGAGCAGGTGAGCATCTACTAGCACGTTTATTTTAAAAAAAATTTTGGGCACCAGGACTGTGGAGATTTGGCTAGGGAAGCAGGGGCGTGGGGCTGCCTGAGCCCGAATTAGCTAAAGAGTGTTTGAGTTTATCCTAAGACGTCTATGCGCTAGAAACTGACTTATCACTGATCGGTGATGTTACATAAGTCTGTGCGTGCTTGGAAGAACAAGGCTACCGTTAGCTAAGAAAAGGTACGCGAAAAAAAAAACCAATTCTAACTTCTAGACACTTCCTACTTCACACACAGCCAGTCCAAAGCACCGCTTCGTAACATATAAGAGGGGGGGGGGGGCGTGGCTCGCAGTGCAGGTGACCAATGGCTCGTTGAATCGGAAAGGCCAAACTAGTGACCTATAGTGAATCAGTAATCTAAAGGTGCTATTTGCAAGAGCGTTCGCCTCGGGACCGCCACGCGGTTTCCCGCTATTTGCACACTTTTGAATTGGGCTTGTGATTCTTTATATATTAGAATTCTTTATATATTAGAATATCGGACAGAGCCTTAGAATGCGTGCTTCCCACCCATATTCGATTTCTGGCCCGCCTCCAACCCCTGCCCTCCTGCTGTTCCCCTGCAACGGTAACATCAAGTATGTGCAATTGCACTTTCCACGATGCGCACGGCAAAAAGCTCATCTGCTTTTCCAACATGCTTTAACAACTAACTGATTTTTCTTTTGTGACTTTTTGTACATTGTTATGCTGGTGTTTGTTTACTGGATGTTTTCAGTGTTCATTATTTAAAAAACGACGCGTGTGGAGATGCATTCCCTGCAACAAGAAAAGTCGGGGTTACAAGCAGGAGGAGTATGGCTTAAGCCAGATATTACTTCTGACATCTCCAACATCCCCAGGTGATTGTATGAGATGCTTCCATGATTTCTTCAACATTAACTCTTTCTTTTCAATCAGCCTCTTTTTGAATTGAGCGTTATCTCTTAATTTTTCTTGCGCTCAAGAAAATGACCCAATCTGTGTTTTACTGGTGCTACAAATGCTGCCTATAAGTTCTGCAATTGAGCTGCACCATAAACGGCTAACCATATTACTCAGGAGAATAAAGTAACCATAAGACTCTTTGCAGCCTAAAGATCCCTGCAAAATACAGCAAGCGTCCATATGAGGGCAACGGCACATATCCTGCAATGAAGACCGCTAGGGTAAGATGGTGGTACCGTCAGTTGCCTTAGGTAATCTTCGCAATCATTTCAGGTAGACTCAGATCTAAGTGGCGACCATTCCCCAAGTGCATTTCGGAACGCACGAACATCATCAGCACATGACGCAGATGATTATAGAGAGAAATCAAAACAGGAGGATAGGTCCGTTGAAAATTAATGTCGTTTTAGCCTTTGAAATAAGACATGAAAGGTCAGCCAGTGCCTTTTGTGGTTATCGATTAAGTTTGTAGCGTAGCTATTCGCAGTCAGCACATGTAGTAGTTTACTCTTGTTTACGTTCTTGTTTTTCTTTCAAATTATTTTCTTCGCATGGCGTATCTTTTCCAGAAGCCTCCTCGCGCATGGAAGAGATTCTAAGAACTCTCTCGACTCTCGCTCTTCTATTCCGATGGCTTCTGAGTCTTGGAGGACTCCTGCGAAGCCTCCACATCCGGAGAAGCCCGAAGCTCCTTGTATGAATTAGAATGCTTGCATTTTTTTTTGTTAACGGTCCATTTCATGTTTTAGCAAGGGAATGGTCAGATGATTTTGCTCACAGTCGAATGCTGTCTGCTAGAGATCGCTACGAATCTGACAGGTAGCGTATTTTTTCTCATGTTTTCGGAACATAATAATCCGGATTGTTTGAGACTGGAATGGGAAAGAAGAAGAGACGAACTATCTACCAAAGAATTAGCTGCTCATCATACGCGTTCGAGCTACGTTGGCTCACAACAAGGCAGAGGTATGAAGCAGGCTTCCTTTTCAAAAGTCAAAATATTGTTCAGCTGCTGAAGATCGAATCGCGCTGGAAAAGTCGCAGTCTATGAAGCCGGTACCGGAAGCTGATCGCGTTCCTAAGAAGGTGCATATGTTATATTATGAGCTTTCGAATTCTAATATCACATTATTTAGGGGACCTACGACACTCTTATGAAAGTGGTTATGGGATCCATTGGTCCTAAATTTCGTGCAGATGACGGAGGATTCGATCAAGCGTTTGTTTCTATTTTTTGAGTCCATAAAATAGAACTCAGGTTTTTCACTTCTTGTATCATCTCTCTTCGACTATCTTAGCTTGACTTGGCAAATTGTTCCACTCATCTTTTCCATTGAAGGCTCAGCTCTCACTAGTAACTTTTTGCAATTTTGTCCTCTCTATCGTTTTTTTTTGGTGTTCTGGTCATTTTCTCATGATCTTGTCCATTTTCAGTGGCTAATATTGGTCCTCTACCCCTCTAAACTATTTTCATGGCTAAGTCTCACTCGTGCACCTCATGCAATAATCATTCGCCCTAAAGAACATCAGCAATTGCGAACCATATTTGAGCTCTGAATCCTCCGAGAGACCCCCGCATAAATAAAACAGGGATGGTTTCGTGGCACCGCTACTGCTTTCGTAATCTGAATAGTTGAGATTTGCTTGAGTAAGGTCGATGCCAAGAACGCGTCTGGTCGCATCCTTAATCTACATACTCTACCGACGCAGGAGAAACCCTGTGCCTGTCATTGTCGCCAGTGTCCAGGGACATTTGCAAGTCTGAGCATACTTGCTGATGTTAGCTATAATACCATTCAGAAAATAGTCTATACCACTCTATATTTTTTTCTAACACTTCAAACAAATCCATCTCTAGCGAAGGTTTTTGAGGCATGTAAGTGTTCAAAAAATTTTCCACTTCCGAACCATTTCACTCCTCAAAAACTCACGGAAGGTGGAAGATGTCAGTCAGTTTGTATACTCCACTTCATCCAGCCTATATTCAGATGTCAAAGGCCTTGCAAACGGATGTCTTCTGATGCTTTTCTTCTGATCTATTCCACATTCTCTCTACACGGAAATTGAACTCCGGCCGAAAAGGCTTTTTTAATTAGCTATAATATTCCATTCTCAATACTGCGGTTTATTAGGTTGACGAACATTCAGATTATAGGTTGCGGTTGAAAGTATAAATTAGCCTACAGCTGCTACGTCTTGCGTAGCACCAATTGTCACGTAGAACTAACTATAGATTAGCTTTTATTCCAGCTATTTACAAGCATGACAAGGTGCATTCTAGTTTCCCTATATAAAAACGGTGCAAGGAAAATGACTTGGTCATCTGCGGCGTTATTTATTCAACTGCCTCCTTGCAGCTAGTGGGCTACCTACGGTTCGGTCATACTTGTCTGCCGAATCGTATTCGGCTCTCGAAATTGCGCGCCCAGATACTGCCGGTGGTTGCAGAGTATCTGAATGCACTGAGAGTATCTTCCTGCAAGAGATTATCTTTGTTAAATCTGAGAAAACGAATGTACTCGACCACATGTACATTTTTGAAACAGCTTAACTTGCAGGAAACTCTTCCAGCTATTTTTTTTTCTCTGCACATTAATGGCCCATACATATTCTTTAGACGTATTCGTAGGCTCCATCGGCTGCGCCTGATTGTAACGATTACTTGTCATTGATGGACCCGATAAATTCAGTCGGTATCCACATGAGGAGCTAATATATCCACAAGGTTTGCATCCCTCGGTATACGACAAGGGTGTGCATTCTATCACCATTTGCACATTACGATAAAGATGTGCCATCCATTATAATTTTGCATGTTTGATTTCACCGTACTTTGTCAGCAACACAAGTATTATTTTCGAATTATAAATTCCTCAAATTTAGCAGATTTGTAGACAGTATCACACTCCGTCTTCTGCTCTTAATAGTCTGGATCCTTCTTACGCAGTCTTATTGAGCTAGTGCTCATAAATAATTCCAACCCTCCACTTTGACTTTTGTCGATTCTATTCTGTCCTCTATTCAGCCTGATTCTTCATGTTGAATGCAAATTTCGTTCATTTATGTCAGTTTTTCAGAGTTATTGGCAGTGCTAATATGTTCAATTTTCATTTCCGATTTCTTTGCTTGATGCACTAATCCTATATTCATAATCATCAGAATTCTCTACTTCTCATTTCATACGAAACCGTATTCAGGACCAGAGAAAGTATTCATCGCAGCAGTGCTTCGTCGGCCTTGGAACGCTCTATTTATTCGAAACAATCTCCAGCTTCATTTGGATCGTCCCTGCCATCGTTTGGTGGTGGACGACTCCATGACACAGGCGTTGCTCTCGCTTCGTCCGCTGCTGCACCTCGTTCAGAGTCATGGAGAAACCTAAGTAACGAGAAGTCCAGCGCTATGTCGAAGCCTGCCTGGACTTCGACAGCGCCGCATACGGAATCTTGGCGAAATAGTTCTGCATCTGCCGGAAGTGAAAGTTGGAGAAACCTTAAAAAGGTAGGTCAACGTAATCGAACACACTCCAGCTCAATCTGCTTTTCAAAAGTGTATGGAGGAGTGGAGAACTGATAAGAATGTCGCCTGCTCTGTTCTGCTTCGGTCTCGTGGCAGTCATTATGCGAATTCATGCACAGAGTTCGCTCTTATGACTGGTCCATCATATTGCTCCGATCAGTGTTGCCTTTTTGCAGTTTGTAAAGGTGATGATGAATTTAGTGATAGACTTGCTCGCATTTCCGGAATGCTCATCATGAAAAGTTTGGAGAGAACAATCTGTTTCAACATATTGGATGCAATAGGCGGTGTTCCGGCACCCCAAAGTTTATAGAAGATTGGGAGATTCTTTCAGAAAATATTGATTTTGCAACGCATGTCTCTCTTCCGTCACAGTCTTCTTGGCATTTCTAAAGTTACTATGTGCCAGAACGTCTATCACGTCGATCCCAACTGTTTTTGACACGGTCGCAGATACTATTCGTTAGGTAGTAGATGTCAACGACGGATCTCGCTTATATTCATCTCACTCATTATTACGAAGTCGTGGATCATGGAAGAACCAAATCATGGACAAATTTTCGACTCGGCTACTCTCTGCATACTTCCCCTTCGAGTCCGATCGTCTAACTTGTAGGAAGACATGGACAAAATTATCACCGTGGCTACTCTCTTCGTCTATCTTTCCGCTGTGTTTGGTCCGTCTCAGGATTTCATGCATCCCTAAGTCTAGAATGTCGTCTTTACCGGTGAAGTTAAGGCGGCTGCTGAGGTAGAAGAGCTGTCAACCTCGTAGTCTTCGATGCCTGGTGCGACAGTCTAACAGCGCTGTTTTCCTACGATGGCGCAATCGTGAAAAATCCATAAATGCATTCTCTTACAATTTCAGGATGTTCCGCAGAGCTCATGGGTGAAAAGCACAAATTTGATTGGAGGTGCAAATGTCGCTGGAGGTCCGAGTCCCATGTCTAGAACTTTTGATAGGTTTGTGATTGCGTTTTTTCTTGTTTTTCATCATTTCTTATTGTTCTTTTTAGATTCCCTACCTTTGGTGGTAGACCTCCGTTTGGAAGTGAACTCAACCGAGATATGAGACGTTATTGACTAGACATCCACACGGAAGCATTGTGATGAATCTGTGTAAACTGGAACATTTGTGTTATCTGCGTTTTTTAAATGACCTCAGCATTGTTCTCCACATTTATATTTAAATAAGTCCAACAATGTTATTGCATGTTTATCTATATATTCGACTATCATTATCGTTCTGCATGCTTGATCATGAATTTGAATTATCATTTGTAAGACACAGTGATAAATTGCATTCCTGTCCTTGATAACTTTGATAGAGTGTAATTGGTAATGGATTCACAACTGACAATATCATCTTGCAGCTAGGCACTGGACCTCCGAATAGTTAAGGTCGTCTGTTGCTTGCGTTTTTCGCTCCAAATAACGCGTGGAACTAACAAGGGAAGCTTGTTTAGTCAAAGTGGCCTGTAAATGAAATGTATACCATATCAAAGGCATAAAACGGTGATTCTAAAACTGCTCTCCTTATCTGCAGAACGTTTATGGACGAGGAGCTATTGGCGTTTTTGGAGCCAAAAATTTAATGTGCATTTTGGATAAAATTTAGTTGCTAAAATCTTACTAGCCCTAAAATGATGCGATCAAGTGTGATACATTTTTTATTTCAAAGTATTTTTTGATCGAAGTGCTCTGAGTGATTATCAATGCTCCATTGAAGAGCTAGGAAAAGTATTACGGCTATTTTTATCCTACTTGCACACTCAATTTTTTGCTGCAATAAGCGCTCATAACTCCTCGTCCATAAATGTTCTGCAGATAAGGAAGGCAGAAGCATTTTATGCACTTCAGTATGGTATACATCCTACTTAAAAAGGCCACTTCGACTTAACATGCATTCCTTAAGTTTTCGGACAGAGATGTCATTAAAAATTCCATAGCTCGCTGAGCAATGCTTTGCTCATTCACTACATCGGTAGCTGTTGGAGCAGACATTGATCTGTGGTAGCAGTCAAATCACCATACCTGGTGCAGTTGCACAGACTTCGTCAAATCTACCTAAGGTCCATGTTGTGTATTTGACACTGAGAAGCGTGAGCGAAGCTTTTAGTCCACATTCCTTGCAAGGCACTGTCTGGGTTCTATCGTGTTTCCTATCCTGCATAGCTTTTACAACCAAGGATAATTCAAGTTACTGCTTCTGTTTTAAGGTTATTTTTAGTTTTACGATGTGGTAACAGTGATGTAGAACTTCCAGAGCCAAACATGCATATTGTAGAGCACACACCTTTAGCACGAAAAAAGTAGAACCTTAACCTTTGATTCCAGAAGAAATAAAAGTAGTCGAGCTCAGTAGTTGGCCATGTACGGCTATTTTTTTTTCAAGTTCACTTGTTCGAGGTGGCGGCTCTGATAATAATAACTTTACGTCACATTACTAAGACGGGGGGGGGGATGTGAAGTAGGGCACGAGAAGCAAGACTAAATTTATTTCGAATTCTCATCCTTTCTGGGCAGCGTTTGAGATATTTCTGGCACGTGCTACCAATACCTACAAATATGGAAAGAATTTGAGGCAATGGCGGCTCTGGCGTAGCCAAAGTTTCCAATAATCCGTCAGAGTGTTCGCAGTCTAATCGAGAACGGACTCGACCAAATCCATCCATCCCCGTTTTGCGATTCATTGCCAGCATGGCGTACTTTTACTGTAAGCGCATGTTTCTGCGATCACACTCATCTTGTTCTTTATGACGTCACCTGAACGTGGTCACTTTTTCAAGCTTTTCTCGCGACGCTCGTTTGAGTGTTGCTTTGTCGTTTAACCTGCTTGAGGGTTACAAAAGTTTTTTCAAGCTATCGTGAGACGTCAAGAGTGGTGATGAGAAGCGGTCGGCAGGGTGTATTTCCACCGCGCGACCGATATTTTGATCGAAATGTTGGCTTTTACCCTAGGTGAGTTGGCAATGTTCTGCTATTGGGTAAATGATTGATGTGCTCGTTCCAGACGTGAAGACGGTCGGGGTGTGCGCAACGCTGCGGATCCATATACGCGCGGAAATCGTGTAGAGTCCGTAAGTTTCTTGTCAACTACAGAAATTCCCTGCTTTCTGCTTGCCTTTTTGGTATTTGTGAGTTGATAACCATCATAGAAGAGCAACGAGTTAGCAAACATTTGTCATAACTTTTGGGAAGCCGCCTCACATTTCTCCGAATTTCTTGCTCGTTTTGTGACGCTGTGTCATCGACGGCTACTTATCCTGTTATCCAGCATGCTAGATAAATTTTGCGTACGAGAATTGCGCTCAATCTGCTGACGTAATCCAAGGGCACATCTGTCATCTTGTGCTTAGATATATTTAATTCTTTGATTCTACAATGTTGCTTTTTCAACTGCATGCTTCGATTTTTGCTACATGGACTGCTCACATGCCATCGCGCGGCGGGCGGTCTCACTTCTAAAACATTCTTGAAATCATTCCCCAAAATTTTTGCGGGCCCATGACCCCGCAAATTCAAGATATGGAGCGCGGTGGCCATATCCGTGTGCCCTCAAAAAATTTTGTACGACTAATTTGACTTTGACAAGATTTTTGAAGTTATTACGATCATTTACAAGTATAAACAGGTCACTTGCAATTATAACTCATGTATGTCCTCAAAAATTTGCGACCCATTCTTGGGAGGGGGGAGGGGGAAGGCTGGCCCTTTCTCGTACGCCACTGGCGCACACCGGCTATAGCTTTTTTGTATCCTTTGGACGATTCCCTTTGAAAGTCGCCCTTTTTTATAGAGTGGGGTAACTGAAGACTAATCAGCTACATTGGGTGGTTGGGAATAGGGGGGGGGGGGGAGAGGGGAAGGGCATCTTCAATAGTCTGCTACCATCTGAACGTGCATTATCTTTGCTTGAACGGTGTACTGGGTGCATGCGGTTTGGCGCACCTTGAAGGATCTCCGTGCTGGCGTTTGGCCCATAGATTGTCACTAATAATCATCTTTTGCGGGCTTCATCAGCGCTGCTTGGCTGGGATGCGCTGTCAAGTCTGCATTAAACCAAACTTGCGAAAAACGGACTATGAACAACTATCATCGGCTCCCAGGTTCGTATAAAGGCGGAGTCGCGGAACTCAAAGAGTGGTCGTTTCTGATAGCCTAGTGTACAAACAGCAATGCTGTTAGGTGAAGGTTTAACTGTCCGCTTTATGAGAATTCAGGTGGAGAGTCAGTCACAATCCGCCTCTGTATGTATCGGGAGCCGATCGTGTATACCATGTTTTATCTTATAAAAATCCTACTGCTGATTATGTAAGGTCTCAGGTCTCAAAGGACAGATACTGAATTTTTTGTAAAATTATTGGTGTCGACTTTTGAGGATTATTCGCGTTCTGGTCGCAATGGAGGCTCCGAGAGAGACGTATCTGATCGTCGCATCATCGGCGGCTTTGCAGATATAAGCGAGAGGTGGGTTTGCTGTGTATTCAAAAAATATCTTAGCATCGCTTTGCTATAATTGTCATTCACATGACACCGACCGCAAGTTAGGGGTCTACGTTGTTGCGATCTTGTTAGCTTATGAGCACTATCGCGGTACGTCCGCGATAAATTTTGCGCGGATTAGAAGGTCAGACATCAAGCAGTGTTTTGTTATTTGATGTCTTCTTTCTCCGCTAAAACTCAGTGGGACCGGCCATACTACTCCAGGAGGTGATTCCTGCGATTCCTGTAATTCCTGCAAATCTTGTAATTTCTCGACTTCCGATGTGTCGCACTACGGAGCCCTTTGCGAATTCCAGTATACATTGCTTTTTCGCAATACACATTGTCACGGAAACCACAGGAATCACAAGAATCGCAGGAACTGCATCGCAGGATTAGTATGGCCGGTCCCAGTGAGTTTACGGAGTGTGAAGCTGCAACTATTATATTTGTAAACCATTGTGAAACTATGTTTTTAGGAAGGTCGACCAGTACAGCAACAATAGAGCGGGACCGTCTTACGTATGTTGCAGCCCTTTTACTCTTAACATCAGCATCTTTCCATGTAGAATGTAAATTTCAAGAGAGAAAGAGATTACGCTAATCCTGTGTCAAGAATACTTCCTGCTGTTCCTGAAAATGGCGCTCGTCGTTACAATTACTTTGACGAGTCTCGGTGAGTTCTCTTTTGCGTTTATCACTTTTATGGTTTAACACTCTACTTCAAGCATGAAATCCACTTCGCAACCAAACCCATACAGTCGAGACTCTCGTGGTCGCGAATCTCGAAATGGGTACGGGTATGCACCTCGAGAAAGCGAGAGGAGCTCTTCTTCTCTGCCAGGCCCCTCAAGTATGTCCTACGGATTCCTCAATCTTCGTGCGTCTCCGCAACGATAGCGGGCAATTTGTCGACCTTATTTGCAGCTGTTTGTTTCAGCGTTATCACGCGAAACGCGAGAACTTGAACAAAGAATGGCAGCCATTCAAAGGGAACTTGACATGCTTGACACTGACAAAAAGGTTTGCCTCATAAGTCTGAATATTATCGTAGTATTTGATTTACCGAATGTTTGATTGCGCTGCTTACTGGGCATCTTACCCAAGTCGCCTTCGTTTTTATTTATCTTCCGCAGTTTATTTTCGTGAGGTTAAATTTTCCCACATTCAACCGCCAATTTGCCACTCAGCTGACAGCTGTGGTGGGGGACACACAAACGTCCTGGCTGGGTTCGCGGTCGCGCTCAGACCAAGTTTATAGGGCCAAAGAGTCGCATAATTATAGAGGATCGACCTTCGTTGGAGGGAGAGAAAATATGACGATTATGAACTATACTTAGCCGACAAGTTCACTTGTTTGATGGTAGAAGATCGTCGAACCTGCGAACTTGTCGTCTCATCATTGCATGATGTACCTGATGAAAGCTCAGGTATCGGTAAAGGCTTTCCGATTTCCTTTCTCACGCAGTTTTCCTAGCATTAAATCTGCTCAACTAAGCAGATTTCTCGCAATCTGTAGACCTAGGATTTATGTTTATCCTCTACGGACCCAACGAAGAAGCAAGCGCGCGGTTTCGCTGCAGCTGTTGCGGCAGAAGTTTGTAATTAAGGTAGTGAAGAGCTACAAACTTCTTTGCTTGCGCTGCCATCAGCGCTGTCGGCAACTGTTCACAGTTTGCGTCAGCGTTGCGGCTGAGTGAGGCGCTGATGGCATCCTTCCCTATTTTTATCAACTGCAATGTAAGGAAGTGCGACTGGAGTAGCCACTGTTAATTGGACTTCGCAATAATTAATGTCAACTGCCTGCTTTAGGGCAATCGAAGTCCTGGACGTGGTTCAAGAAGAGAAAGAGAAAGAAGACCATACGAAGAAGCTCGTTCATCTATTAGAGCGCCAGCTGCACCATATCCGCCGCCCCGAATTGACTCCGTTGAACGAGCAAGACTGGATCGTGAACGAGAGCAGCTAAGAAAACGCGAAATGGAGCTTGCGCGTCGAGAAGAAGAACTAGCTCGTAAGGAACGACGAATGCGAGAGAGGTCTCCTCCACGTCCTCTGATGGAGCTGCCGCGGGAAAGAACGCCACCACGTCTGCCAGTATTGCCTCCTCAAAGAAAAGGGACGTTCCCAAAGACTCGCCGATTTCTCCGAACTCTACCTTCTTGGAGACGTCGACAAATTAGGAAACGCGAGCAACGTGCGTTGGACAATCTTGAAATCATCTTGCCAAGGAAGAGAGGTATCTCTCGTACGGAAGATTTTCTTATGAGTGAAGAGTCGACTATTGCACCGAAAAAGAGAAAAGAAGCGAAACGAGAATTCAAGGATGAAGGAAAAGAAGAGGTACCCACAGACAAACCTGGGAGAAAGAAAGGTTAATTTTTCCGTTGATTATTCTCACTCATGAACCTGTTTTGTGAGTCTGTATGCGGCTTTGTTGCGATTTATGTGGAGATACGGCTTTCTTTGTATCTTTGATATAAAATTGATTTGCATCTCAACATTTATATGAAGGCGATGTCATGTAGTCTTTGCAGGAAGATGTAGGGGGAAAGCTGTTGACCATATCGTAAATGTGGCTCTTGGACAAGAGAATCCTAATGAGTACGTTCCACCAAGGTTGGTTAATGCTGTCTTTCTTTTCTGCAATTCTATCATTTATTGCTTGCAGGCAGCGTGCTCTTGCTGTGTTGTTCGGCCACTGTGACAAGAGTTTAATGTCTGCCGAGGTTTTGAGGAGGTTTGGTGTTGTTGAAGCAAAGACTGAACCGGTTGAGAAAGATGCATACAAAAAGCGAAGTAGGTATTCTAGTTCAGTTATGGTGGAACAAAGGCTTATCTATTTTCATCAATGTTATCGCAGCCTATCTAGTCGCAGGCTTTGAGATAGGAAGCATTGACCATTCAACTTTGTGCTTGGTTTAACTTTATGTGGTACGATAGTGGGACCGCTAACTAGGCAACCAACTGGGCCACCGTCGTCTTTCTTTATGCGAACTATGACATAGCATCCAGCTTCTGCAACTCAATGTCGCTAATTTTTATTGCTGAAACACTCATCCCTCAAATGATGGACTAGCAAAATGTCACAGACATTGATGTATACCAACGTCATTCTGACAGCGGGATGAAGAGAGGGTTCTGCGAATCCATATCTGAGGGCGTTTTCTAGAAGCTCTCAAAACCAGAATCTATAGATAAATTACGGTCGTATCCAAGCAGAAATGCTTGTGTTCCTACTAAGTACCAACTTTATCTTTTTCTTCTCACATCCACAATCCTTTTTTAGCTGTAGAATCCAGTTTGCGATATCATCTATTTAGCGTGCATCCGTACGTACAATCCAACAACATACGGTCCTCTAGATCAATTTGTACCTCTACGAAGCTTTGAAGATGAGGTTATTTTGGAGCCTTCTGATTCAGAAAATGATAAGGTTAGGTTATACTTTCGAGGTTTTTTATTTTTTTTCTATATTATTGGAAGCCAATAGAGATTGTGTTTATAGATTTTGGAAAACATGAAAGCCATCCTGGGATTTTTCCCAAAATCTCCAGAACATGAGCATTCATCATCTGATCGGTAGACTACTGATATTTTTTACTGGTTCTTTTGTGTTTCACTCGTTCTTTTATATACTTTTGTCGCATCATATCGCAGATTTTTTGGAGTTCTGACAGCATTGTCACTTTTGACAGTTTTCGCAATCCACAGGAGTTCCAATGTTTATTTTTATTAAACGACATAGAAGATATATTTGGTACCTTTACTGAGTTATTTTTTGTGTACTTTCACTTTTTTCATGCCACTTTTCTACATTTTTATTAGAGTTATTTCTTGTTTTTATTGAGTGTTGCGTATGAGCTTATCGTAAAACCGTAAGTTCATTAGCTTTACCTCATCTTCCATATTTGTAAATGTTTTTAAGGGGATTGCGCAATCGTTATGTGCATAAATTCTTTTTCTTATATGTTTGACATGTAGTTATGAGGTAAACTGCCTAAGTATCTCTACTTCCATGTAACTCATAGACTTCTATTAACTTTGATACTTATGGTTTCGCACAGAATTTATGCACCGTGGCGCTGCATCATAACCCAGCAGAAATCGTTTTGAAAATGTCAGAAATATGGGAAGGTAAGAGTATCTGTCAGTTTGTTGACTTCTTTATAATGATCTTATTGAAGCTTTGCGTAAACGTGCACGATCGGCGGAGAACAGTATCGATGTGAAACTAGTTTCACTAAATAAACTAAACTCGCATACAGGTTCGAGATTTAATCTTGTTTTTTCTTACATAATCTTTATTCGCTTTGCATCGGTCGCTAGTGCATCCCTTTGCTGTTGCATGTTTTCGATAGAGCAAGGTTTCCTTTTTCTGTTCATGGTATTGCAAAGGTTCTGCTATTTGTTGACTGTTTCTATCAACAGTGTTTCGTTAACACACCTTAAAGGCAGTGTCCGGGCAAAAACTCGATTTTGAGATTTTGTGCTTACCCAGGCCTATTCGTCATGCTGAATCCGAAAATCCACACTGGAAAGCGCGAAAACGGCGAAAAAGGGCTCTAACGCAGGAGGGAAATCAAAAGTGGGCGGGGTCTTTCCGAGGGTGAATTCACGGTCCCAGCTCCCGGAGCGATCTTTTCGCTTCAGACTTCAGATCATGCATTCGCACTTGGTCCGTTGAGATGTCAGGGCGGTTAGTGGGAATGAAAAGATCGCTCCGAAAGCTGGGACCGTGAATTCACCTTGGGGAAGACCCCGCCCACTTTTGATTTTACTCCTGGTTAGAGCCCTTTTTCGCCGTTTTCGCGCTTTCCAATGTGGATATTCGGATTCAGCATAGGGAATAGGCCCGGGTAAGCACAAAATCTCAAAATCGACTTCTTGCCCGGACACTGCCTTTAAGCACGCGCCACACTTCACCCGCTTAATCCACTTGGTCCGCTTCATCCGTTCCGTCACTGATCAAAGCAGTGAACTATAGTGAAGTGAATGAAGTGGATCAAGCGGATCAAGTGAACAACCGCTTCACTGGTCAGTCCACTGACCAATCACGAAGCGAATCAAGTATGGCGCGTGCCTTATTGTGATGATTAGCAAACTATTATAATGCAGCGGAAGGTGATCAAAGTTGCATGTCATTGTTGAAGCTATTCATTCGCAAGCGTTAAAAAGGGTCTTTTGGTGGTATTTTGATGGGTCTATGTTCGAACCAAACTTCCACTCACAGTGTGCTATTGAAGCGACGCAAGAAAAAGTTAAATCGACGTGGCAAACAAAAGCTCACCATTCGCCGTAGTTTTGGCCGCGTTGTCACATCCACCGAGGTGTGCCCTAGTGTCTTGTATTTTAGACGTATTTTCCCATCAGTTTCTTCTACATATTGAATTATCGACAGATTTTGAAAGTTTTAATTGTATCATGTTGGGCAGTTTAGCCCGTGTTTATGTTCTTCTACTCTCTTGTAGCATTGATTCAACATGCTCAACTTCTCATATTCTCAAAAATAATGAATTTCAGGAGGCGTACTTGAAGAAGATCTATATTTTACTAACCATTCTTTTGTTTAGGTCGTTTAGACAGTAATGAGGAATCAGTCTCAGCTCGACAAGCTTTGTTCGAAACGCTTACTCAAGAAATTGAGGGGCTGTTGACTAAGCTGACTCACGTGAATGATGAGGTGAGTAGCTAGGCCTTTGATACCTTCAAAAACTGGTAGGTAATTATTGTATTAGTTTTGAGAGTAGTTAGAAGGAAGATATATGTGCTATGTGCTTTCCTTTTACAATTTTGAGTGTCTTCAGATGAACGATGTTGTCGGCGCGCAAAGTTCGGCTGGTTGGGCGATGAACCCTGCAGTACAGCACACACTTCGAAGACATCGCGAGATTCTTCGTGACTACGGCACAGAGTTCCGTCGCGCAAGAGATAATGTACAGCAGCAGTTGCAGAGGTAGGCTTCAAGTAGATGTTTTGCAAGGACCTTCCAGTTTCTACCTGCGGAATCTGTTTTTGATGTGTCCATTTTAGAGAGTTCTTGCTTGCTGGTGGAATGAGCAGCTCAAGTCAGGAAGGATCATGTCTCAACAATCGTGTAAAAGGTTCAGACTTGTATCTCAAGGAAAATGAACACATAAGCAGTTGTGATCGGCTGCTTGACGAGCAAATGGGGTTAGTTCACGCCTTCATTTGATTCATAATCCTGATTTTCGATTTTGCTTCTTAATTTCTGTGTAATCACCGTTGAAAATATAAGATGTTGTTTTAGGATCGCGATGGCCACAAAGGAGAACCTGGCACGACAAGGAATGAGTTTACGAGGAATCGGGAAAAAGATGGACACTTTGGCCAGTTAGTGTTCTTTTTCTCCATATTTGATGATAAGGTTTTTCTCTTGTTTACAGAAAAGTATCCGATGATAAACAACATAATGCAGAAGATACAGTACAAAAAGCGAAAAGATGCCATTATATTATCGACGGTTATTACTTGCTGCTTGTTATTTGTCTTCTTTTACCTAAGAAGTTAGATTGAAATTCGAAGGTTGTTTCTTTTGTAAACATATTATTGAGGATGATTATTACGTCGCAATTACCTGTAAATCTATAATCAAGCCATTTGCTGCCTTGATTGAGCACGAGAGTTCCTCTTTATCTCACATCCTCGTTGCAGTGCTGTGAGCGTAGATGTTTTGATACTCTCCGTAGTCTCGCCGCCACAAATTTTCTGTGATTGTACTTTGTCCTTGAAATTGATTTTTTTGTGTAAGCTCAAGTGAACTGAGGGTTCTGTTATATGGTGGAAGCAGTAATTATTGGTTCAAAATTCTAACCTTTCCTTTTTGTTTCATTATTGGAAGAGCATTTTATCTTCTCTTACTCCTTGCAGATTTTCTTCTTAGCTGTGATAATTATTTTCGTTAACTGCAATGAATTCAGATTTTGTTTCTATTATGACTGTATTTATGCATTGAGAGCTGATTTTACACGATATATTGATGGTGAAGATTTTCCCTTGTTACTTGTTTCTATTGTGCAGCACGGGTGATGGACCCTTGCTTTCTTTTCAATTCGGCGCCAAAGTTTGTTTATTAGTATCTGCCTAAAATTTTGTTGACAGATGGTTTTGCGGCCGATCATATGCCCTTCAATTCTTAACTCCGACTTGGCAAATCTTGGTGCGGAATGCAAGAAATTGTTGGCTGCGGGTGAGTCATAATTTTATCTTTCACTGCTCCTGTCTTCATCACAATGCTCCGTTCAGGGGCGGATTGGCTACATTTGGATGTAATGGACGGACATTTTGTTCCTAATCTTACTTTTGGACATCCGATAGTTGAGTCACTAAGAAAAGAACTTGGACCCGAGCCATTTTTTGATGTACATCTAATGGTGAGAGTTTTTTTTATTGGCACAACTCTCACTTTATGAGAATACTATGCCTCAGGTGGCCGAACCAAACCGCTGGGTCAAGGACATGGCAAAAGCAGGAGCTAATCAGTTCACATTTCACTACGAAGCTGCTAATGAGAAAGGTGGAGATGCTGCGGTATCGGATTTGATCGAGAAGGTGAGTTGTAAAATTTTTCAATCCCAAAATCAAAATATACTTTTTCATTTTCCATCTTCCTTTTTTTACAACATTTTTAATTTATTATATTCTTGCGCATGCGCATCTGATTACCTGTTTTTTTGTCCAGTTGCAAATTTATGTTAGGTAGGCATCTCCTCCAATAGTGTATGCACTGCATTATATCGCATCTCACACAGGTCGCATCCATAATAATGTAACAGCTATTTTATTAGTGCACACACCTTTTGTTCATACGAATTCGAAACAAACACGCATATCACGAATGAACGCGATATTATGCCACGATAGCGTGAAGGAAGTGGGGAGTTTCATAGAAAGCACAGAACCCTGCTTGCTGCTCAGGTAGATTGATGCTTGAAGAAATATAGCAGACGCTTTTATTTGTACTGTAAGACTAACCTGTATACTGTGAGGCTACAAGTTCGAGCGTCGTAGGACTTTTTTGGCAGAATTTAAATTTTACTGATGAAATTTTTGATTTTGGTCTATAACCAACAAGATTCTACATGATTTACGACTTTGATCCTTGGTGGTAATTTGGAGCTTGCTCCGCTCTATTGAACAGTAATGAGTCTGCTAGGAAAACAAAAACATTTGTTTTTCTTCAAAAGGGGTCAGCGAATGTTTTGCAAATCGTACTCTCTATCGTTTTGTTTTAGCATGCCATTCGGAAGCAAACACGGGCTTTGGCATAGCGCCCCTGCCAATGTATTGTTTTAGCTGATCAGCGCTCTCTGAAATCAAGCTATCCACTTACTTTATGTCGTCTGGGTTGTTGGCATGCTATTGTCAGTCGTCAGGGTGCTCAGTGTTGCATGGTGTGGTAGTGTTCTCCTATGGTAGATACCATTTATGTCTAGAGATATGCATAAATTTGCTTTATTTTCTTTCACTTGTTGCGTCCATTAAGTCCTTATGTCAGCTTTCTTATGAGGGTTTCTATATCCCCTCAAACGAAATAGCTTGAACTCACATTTAGATTCATCAAGCTAACATGAAGGTTGGTTTCGCCATCAAGCCGAAAACGCCAGTGGATAAAGTTTTGCCGTGAGTGTAAAAGCTTATGATTCTGTTTAGAGCTTCACATATCTCTAATTTCTCTAACCGCATTAGCCAAAACACATCTGTTCAAAAATTTGCCTATTTTGAATGACATTTGCGGCGATTTGCAACATAAATGTATAATCAATGAGCAATATAATTTTATTCAGATTTGCCGACAAAATTGATATGGCGCTGGTTATGACCGTTGAACCAGGCTTTGGGGGACAGAAATTCATGGAAGACATGATGGACAAGGTGAACGTGTGTTTCAAAGCTTTCTTTCGTTTGCTCAAAAACTGTGCGATGTTCGCTCATATGAAGTAAATTGTGTCTGCAGGTACGCACGCTGCGAAAAGCCCATCCTGCTCTCAATATTCAAGTGGATGGTGGAATCTCCCCTAAAAACATAAAAGTGAGTCAGTATCCTTCTGCAGATGTGATTATGCATGAATTCTCCTATAACTGTAAGATGATTTTTCGTGAATGGTTTACACTACGCACGCAGAACTGAATGGCATCAATGTATGACAGATTTGCATTTGGACTTCATATCGCTTGAGACTTCTGACAAGAGTAGAATACTTTGTCGAAGTGGCGTTTCCATATGGGATGTGTACTATCTTACATAGCATGGAACGCTCACTCTAAATCTGCTTTCGGTTTCTGCAAAGCTCTGGGAAGGAGGTTCTGGTAATTTTTTGAGGTAAAAATTGAATGATTTAGCTAACAATAAGATAAAAAATATGTTGAGGTCTTTCCGGCGCTTGAAAGAATAAACGACTGACATGAGTTTATTAGATTGAAGGTTGGATTCCATAAAACGACCTGGTGATGATTATGGCTCCATTTTAGCTCACGGACTAGAGTTCTGAATGATTCATTGTAGCAGCGCTTTCAAATTTCTGCATAAGAAAATTTCCATAACTTCCTTCCAAGAAGCGCTTTGCAGATACCGAAAGCAGTTTTGAAATCAATTTTATGCTCTATCAGAAGTATGCATTTTGCAGGAAACGCTACTTCGACCAAGTATCCTTCCCTTGTTAGAAGCTACAGTTGCTAAATTACGTTTCTATTCGGCTTGGAACTTTTGTTAATATTCTGATATTATTTTGACTGTGGACGCCAGAAAATGAAGCAAAAGGACTGTGTTGCGAAATCAACACACATGCCTCAAAGGCACCGTCCACCCAGATTCTTGACTTCCATGTTTTATTCGTTTCGGGGCCTTCTCATGTCCCTGATTCCGTATTTGAAATCTAGAATCCGCAGAAACTCCAGCAATCCCCATTCCGGAGAACCCGCAGGTCGGCTTTCCGGAACGATGATTGGCTTGCCGCGCACGGATGGGCGGATATGGATGGGAAGGGCGGTGCCGCCTTGGGTCTCATGCATCTTCGTTATTCTAGAGCGATTTTGTCGCTTTCGAAGCGACATTTTGCGCTGCGACTTGGGCATTGGCTTGATGGGGGGGGGGGCTAATATCATATGCTGCCGAAAGCTCAAGACCTGAACATAGGGTGGACGGTGCCTTTAACGCCAAAACTTGCGCGCGAAAGAGGGGAGGGTGAGGGGTCTGGTCCTCTCTAACGCTTTTTTCGGGCTTTTTTGGGCGCTGGGATTTTCTCGGCAAAGTATGATGGTTAGGGGTCAGGCCCGCTGTTATAAAACATCAGAATCTCATCATCCTCTGTCGGTGGACGCTGCCTTCAATATCTAATTTCGCTCGATAAAGCAGGAAAAAAACCACTTATAAGTTAATTTTTCGAAGTCCGTCATTTCATATGTTGAAACTTCACTGATATTTTGCGTCCCTGGCATATCTTCAACTTCTCAGCCGGCTTTATGCCTTCAGGCGGAATGGTATGGGCTGTGTTTGATTGCGGCTTTCTGCAAAGTAGCCACTTTGCTAAGCAATAAAAGTGTTTTGTTTGAGTTATGATGCTGAGTTATGGCTTCGTTTTTGCAGATCCCAGCTGAAGCCGGAGCGAATGTGATCGTGTCTGGAACGGGCGTCGTAAAAGCGCAATGTCAGAAGACAGCCATTGAACAGTTGCGTGAAGTGGTACAGAGGAATATCAAAAATGGTCTTTAGTGTTAATAAGTGCCAAAACATATACTAGAACATTCCTGTGCTTTTTCTTGGGTTGAGAAGACGCTTTTAGGCTTTTATCCAGGAAAAGATTGTTTTTTTCTTCTCGTTTTGTTCGCTACTTCATTCTTTTGCAGACGGTTACGAGATTTCACTTATAAAATGTATTTATGCCAGTTGTCAAGTGCTTACTGTCTGTCATATGTGTTCATGATCCTGTGAGATTGTAATAATAGAGATATAGTGTAGTAAAGATTGGTATTACTCTATCTTTTGCCAAAGATGAAGCTGAATTCATTTCCATTGGGAAAAAAGTTTAGAAGCTTTTTGATTCTGTTTATGTATTGGAGGTGAGATAGAAGCCTGAGAACGAGCTACAGACATGGGAGTAATACTGAAGCAAAAACTTAAAGTGAAGTGTAGGCGCGATCACACTTCTTCCAGAACAGCCTTCATCGCAGATACTATAAGTACCATGACAAAATTCTGTGTTGGTCGTGTTGTCGAGAAAAATGTGGACCAAAAATGATTTCCCGTCTTGATGCATCTGTAACATGGGAAGGAAAATTGTGAGCCTTTGAAGTTGTGCAAGTTTCCAAATTTTTGGTGCGTGAACTTAGAACTGAATTAGAGTCAGTTATCCTATAATGTGGGGTGGAAATCTTCCCGATAGATTGTAAAAATACAGTTTTTTGCTGCTAACATCACACTGTAAATTACAGGGTTAAGCACTCATCACCTGGCAAATAATTCGATAACCATATGTACAGAAATAAGAAATCTAATTTCTGCGTAATTAAAATGATCGGTTTTGATTGTTTGAACAGGGAGTACCAAAAAATGTATTGGACGTTAAAGGCAGTGTCCGGGCAAAATTCGATTTTGAGATTTTGTGCTTATACGGGCCGATTCGCCATGCTGAATCCGAAAATCCACATTGGAAAGGCGAAAAGGGCGAAAAAGGGCTCTAACACAGGAGGGAAATCAGCAGGTGGGCGGGGCTTTCCCCAGTGCGATACGTTCCCAGCTCCCGGAGGAGCGATTTTCTCGATTCCGCTAGCCGTCCTAACATCGCTACCGGTCAGATGCGAATGATTGACTTGAAACCGGAAGCGAGAAGGTCGCTCTGGAAGCCGGGAACGTGAATTCGCAGTAGGGAGGACTCCGCCCACCTGCTGATTTCCCTCCTGTGTTAGAGCCGTTTTTCGCCATTTTCGCGCTCTACAATGTGCTCGGATTCAGCGTAGCGAATAGGCCGTAAGCACAAAATCTCAAAATCGAGTTTTTGCCCGGACACTGCCTTTAACTTTCTTGTATGAACGCTTCGCATATCTTTACAGGCACCGCCCACCCTAAGTTCAGGGTCTTGAGCTTTTGGCAACATATGATTGTAGGAACACTGCCTTTAACTTTCTTGTATGAACGCTTCGCATATCTTTACAGGCACCGCCCACCCTAAGTTCAGGGTCTTGAGCTTTTGGCAACATATGATTGTAGGACCCCCTCAAGCCAATGCCCAAGGAGAAAATCGCTCCGGAATAAGGAAGATGTACGAGGTTCCCCAGACGGCAACTCCCTTCCCATTCATGCCCGCCCATCCGTGCGCGCCCAGCCAATCACCGTTCCGGAAAGCCGGCTTGCGAGTTCTCTGGAACGGGGATTGTTGGGATTTTCGCGGATTCTCAACTTCATACGGAATCAGGGACATGAGAAGGCTCCGCAACCATCAAAAGATGGAAGTCGAGAATCTGGGTGGACGGCATTAGATGGTATTCAGCATATAGTAAAGCTTTCTTCAACTTACAGGGGAAGGAAGGTTAGTCGAAGTGAACTTTTGTATGAGATTTACAGTGACTTAAGAGTATGAAATGTTGATTCCAAATCTATCTTTCTTATCTGCTGCGTGTTTCTGAGCAAGGAGTTTTAAAGGTTTTTGTGGGCAAAAAATGCAGTGCATGATCACTGTAAAATCAGTCGTTTACTTTTCCTAGTGTTCCAAAGTGGCAGAGTTATGGATAGTTTTAACTAAGAATATTCACTGCAAGGATTAGCTCGAAAATTATTCGAGCCGTAGGGTAATTGTTACGACTGGTTTTGTCCAAGCTGCACATGCAGATTTCTGCTCTTAAAAACCTTCGTAACCTCTCACCCAGGAGCCCGCAGCCAGATATGGAAGCTAAATTTGGAATCAGCATCTCATACCCTTCAAGGCAGTATCCATCTTATATTATAAGGCCACTTCGACCAACCTTCTGCCTTCTTAAATATATCAAGTTGGTCCGAAAGTTTTGTCCGTTTTTACAATCCATCGGCAAACACGCTAAAATGAAGATAAACAGAAATTTTAAAGTGTATCCGATGCAGAACTTCTTCCTCTTTCCAGCCGCTAAACCTCCATTGTGTTTCGCTGCGAGATTGACGAGATATTTGCTGGAAATTACAACCACTCGTTTTTACTATGTCCAACTTTTGCTAATTTCCAAAATTTGTGTGAGACTTTCGGAGGAGCCTTAATAACCACCAGATAGAGCAAACCTTCTGCCAAGAGAAGCAATTTTTTGTAGCCCTACGGGTTGTCTTTCAAAATTTCTAAGATTTATTTTTTGAAGTGACCAAATTTTACATTCAGCCTATTTCAAATCTCGAACATAAAATGTTAAGCACTTTAGTCACCATTCGATGCAACTTTTTCTCCTCCTTTTAACACTTGTCTTTTTTTGCGGAGACAAGCGAAATTTGTGGGGAAAATCGCAGTATTTAGTATCGACGTAACTTATGTTTTAAAATCTTCATAATTTGAAGCGAAAATCGCTCATTTACTTTGTAATGGTCGCGGTAGTAATAATCGAGTGTTAAAACATCAGTATTGTGTAGGTTTTGCAGTGTTTGGTACAATAATAGGTTATGCGAATTTTCATAACACAAGACTTTTAGAAAATTATTTAGCAAAAATCTGAAAAGCAACTGAAAAAATGAAAAAGTTGCATAAGCTGGCAAAAGGTTTGCGCTATCTGGTGGTTATTAGGGCTCCTACGAAAGTCTCATACAAAAATTTTGAAAATTAGCGAAAGTTGGGCACGGTAAAAACTAATGGTTGCAACTTCCAGCGAATACTTCATTACTCCCTCAACGAAACACAATGGAGGTTTGGCAGCTGGAGAGGGGAAGAAATTCGCATCGGATACATCTTGAAGTGTTAGTTAATCTTTATTCTAACTTGTTTGCCAATGGATTGAAAAAACTGACAAAACTTTTGCACCGACCTAATACAATACAAAACGAGTCACCTATTGCTTTTCACACTGTGGGATTACAGATCCGCAATCGTTGCCAAACTCCATAACTCCAAAACCTTTGAAAACTTTTTTGGTTGAATTTTTGAACACGCTGATCCTGGTAGATAATTTTTTACATCTTCTTAGAGCATGATATTCTAATAAGATTATTCAAAAGATATCGGGAAAACTGCTGCCACAGCTACCTGTCGTAACTTATGAACTAGATAATCGTATATCTGAATCAGCAGTCTTTGGAGAATTTCTGGAACGGTGTACGTTTGGCGGTCCTTACCGTAACGTTACAGCGATGGAAAAAATAGGTGGTGAAACTTTTCAGCGAAATATATCTATAACGTGGACTACCTCGGATCTATGATCTAGGTGATAGGTCATAGGTCTTTCAGGTGAAAAAGTGCATTAATTAATTTGAGCTGTTCAAACACGAACTCTTTTGCACAATACGGGAAAAAAAAACCAGAAAATTATATCTGGGTCTGTACAGTCGCTTCATTTCATATGATCATGTGTGCCATTGCACACACAGTCCACTTTGGCGTCCTCATCCTGGATTTGCAATCGCAAAAACGCAAGAGACTTACCGATTCTTATCGATTACATCAGTTTGAGGTGACTAGTAACTAAAAAGGAAAGAAAATGCTAAGAACACCTTGTAAACACTTACTTGAAGGCTTGTTTCGCCCACGAATCCAGGATGGGGACGCCAAAGGTGAACTGTGTGTGCAATGACACACATGATCATACGAAATGAAGCGACTGTACCAACCCTCGCTTCGGAAGATGTGCAATTGCATACATTGCTACGGAAACCATCTGGACTAGTATAGAGAGAACCCAAAACCCTTCCAGATGTGCGAAATTCTTGACATTCAATTCATCATGCCTTTCTACATTCAAAGGTGTTTCCGTGTCCTTCAATTTCACGAAGATGTGTCCAACAGCTGATTGGAGGTTAGTTTTTGAGCGGAATTTATGACATGCATGGGCATTGAAGGGGCATGGAGAGGAGTGATGGCTGGAGCCAACGGGCTTTGATGTCGCCGCCCGGCGGCTTTGATGCTGCCGCCGAGTTGCTGGGTCTCTTCGGATCGGGCGCTCTCTGCCCCCGTCTGTATGTCCTCACGCTTGTGAAAGTGTTGTAAGTGTCAGTGTGCTGTTGTTTTGCAGTTATAATTCTTGCCGTGAATGAGTGTTTTTCATCAAATTACGCGCGTACACGTACGGACGAGTTGTCGGCACGGGCTTTGTGTGTTTCGCACGTTTTCACACACTACTAGTTCCCGCCTCCGTCGTGAAAATCTTGTTAAGAAAGAATTATTAGTGAAAAATCCCCTACGAGAGCATTTCACCCCGGCACCTGTTCGTCTTTGTTTGCGTGTGAGCCAATTCAAAATCTGGAATGTGTTCGGGTTTTTTTTAGCTGCTCTCCAGTAAAAGGGTTATGAGCGATGGTGCCGCGGCGCCCGGTTCGGCGCGTCAGCGCACTGCGGACGCGCGTACGCGGCGAAAAAAATCCGAACGAAAATTGCAATTACGTATGAAAAATGATGGCGGAGATGAGGATCTTTCTAGCGGCCTCGGCGCTCTGCTCCGATCCACTCCACACGCTCTCTCCTACCATCGCTCTTTCTCTTTCCTCTGTTCTCTCTAAACGATACCAGCACAACACGTATGTGGAAGTTTTCGTGCTCATTCGAATTTCTATGTCCCTAATAAAGGATTGTAAATAGGATGAATAGGAATGTAAAGAATCCTGATTTTTTCATCTCATATCGCTAAAACGTTGCTCAATAACTTTTTTCTCGATTTTTAAAGTTAGGAAACTACCTATCTCCATCCAAATTTTCCAATTCTTGCATTTCGCTCATTTATTCACCATACCAACACCGCATCACAAAGTGTTCTACAATTTGTGTTAACAATATGCTCCCTTTCCCTTCAACTCAAGCACATTGCCAGAGCCGC